GTTCAGGGCAGGTATTTTGGAGGGTAGACAGAAAGAGCACCCAGCCTGCAAGGCTCTTCCTTGACTGAGCCCCAGGTAGCCTGCTTTTTCTTTCTCAGACCCCTGATGTAGCTTGTCACAAAAATGGTCCAAACACCTGAGAGGAGAAGTCCTTTTGACTCTGGCAGAAATGTACCCAAGACATCAACAGTCAAATTTTATGAAGTTTATTAAGAATCAAAAAGAAAGGTAGAGGAGAAATGAAAGAGGCAGATTGTTTCTTGAAGAAAATAAGCAGCAGCTTTTAGATCAAGTCTGTCCATCCTGTTATAGCTACTTACAGTGAGGTGAGCCACCCAGGTGTAGAACAGCAGCTTTTCCTCTACTCCTGGATGTAACTCCTCCATATGCAGATTATGGAAGACTGGGGAAACTTAGCAAACTCAAAGGGACAGATTGAGGAGAGCAGGCGGAGCTTCCATTTTATAGTTCCTTGTGTCTGCTTAGTTGTAGGTGATCCATGATGGAGAAACACGTATCTGTTAAAAACCATCCTCCCCTAGTATTTCAGTGAAAAAAGGAATTACTCATTTGTTTACAATGCAAACAATTTCAGCTTGTGCAAGAACGTAGGGACCTGAATGTTGACATTTGGCGTCTCTTTATTTTGTGTTCAATGAATGTAAATTATACTTATAGCACGTATGTGCCCATCAACTCGGTTTTGAGGCCTTGTGGTAAAGGTCACAAGTACTTTGAGTCTGTGAAGGCTTTGAATCTTGCACTGATCACAGAGTTGACATTACATAACTCCCTCCAAATGCCAACAGAGAGTTACTTAAGGCGCATGATCTTGCCATTCATGAGAGAACAACCTGCTCCCCGTGATCTTGCTGGTTGAAGCCGCCTCATGCTCCCTCAACAACTATCAGTTGGTTACTTCAGAATTACCTTGCCCCCTCCCCCTGAGGTAAAGGCAGAGGAGCCTGTTGCCAGAAAAAAAGAGCAGGCAGCAGCATATAGCTAAACCTGCAACATGCTTGGGAGGCAGCTACTGAAAAGCTTTTGAAGCCCACTTCAAAATATATGTATTTGAAGTGTTTCTGTCATGTATTGCCTTGGGAATTTTGTGTGCGTGTGTCTGTGGAAACATAATTAATAAATGCAACAGAATGTTTAGGGAATTAAATGCTGAATATAAGGAAATGCCATCCCCCTCTTAGTTTGTGAACTGCTTAAATCCATTTGCATAGTAATTAAATAAATGGAATCAAGTAAGTTATTCATGTATTCACTGGATATATATTTTTTTTAACGGCGAGAACTGGAGACCACTCGGTGTCTGAACTAATGAACTCTTCTAGTATTGCGAGAGACATTGCCGTGTTCTTTTTTCCTTTCTTTGTATTGTGTTGGTTGATAGTGATGAATATAGGATGGAATGTAGTCTTATAGCTGAATGGGTTTCTTGTCCTGCCCTTTACCTGCCACTTTAGTACAGTCAGCAAAGGGCTTGCTGCCCACAATTGTGGCACAATTAATTTTTGTCCGATGCTGCATTTTCCTGTGCTTCACTGATATGCCTAACATCGCTCACTTCATTCATTGCTCTCCTGTCAGGTAACTCGTGGCTTTTTTTTCCATATTAGCTTCCTGGTTTCAGCTTTAAAGATTATACACTTCTAGCTTCAGATGAAGTGGCAAGTTCTGCAGGTAAAATAGTAAAAAGGCTTTTTTTAGAAGGAAAAAAACCCAAATGGAAACATTTGTCTACTGCTTTATAGAAACCTTTTTAAATTAGGAATTGCAGGTCTTGTAAGAAGCATTGGAAAGAGAGAGAAGCAACAGACAAACCAGAGAACAGGGTTGGTGTAGCAATTTGTGTGCATTGGGTTGGCGGTGATAAGCTGAAATTCAGATCCATCTTCTGCTATGAAACTCTCTAGGCAGTATCAAACACTTACTTGCCTGAGATGCTATTGGTGAGGTGGTAATAAGAACAAAATAAGATCCTGGCAAAGGCCCATCTAGTCGAGCACCCTGTTCTCATTTCACATTTTTTACTCACAAGGTATTTCTCCCCCTCTTAGGATTTAAACAGAATACAAATTGTAAAGGATTTCTTAAATGGCAACCATGATCTTCAAAGAAGTTTGCAGGCTGAAATGCAGAACCTAGAAGACCTCGTGCAAAAAATTTATGGCCAAAAACAATCCACGAAAGAAACCCAGGAAGTGAACGATGAGGAGACAGATGAAGGCAAGTGCATATGTTTAAAATGAAATTTGTGTTTTATCGCTCTAACAAGTTGCATAGCAAAACTTGCTGACACATTGTAAGGTGTGAGGAAAGAATATCACCTTAGGAAGGAATACCACCTTACAGAAATCAGAATATGCAGCTTTGAGATTGCTTTTATTTGGATTGCCACAAGGCAGACCTTTGGTAAATAAGGGCAGGTGCTATTCTTAAGTATGCAATATGTGTAATGTTGTCTGTGCTTTTTTTTTTTAAATTTTTAGATTGTCATTTAGAAAAAAGGAAGCGAACAATATGAAGAATGTGACTCTACTGTGAAGATGTCATGCATTACCAAATGGGAAACTTGCATAATTCCACAGGAATGCTCATTTAAAGAATGATCCTTTTTTCAAGTTATATTGGAATTTGGAGAATAAACCTGAAGGGTCAACAGTCATTTCCTTAAAAATTCCAGTTTCCTTTGAACTGTGTTATGGTTTGCTTTCAGAGGTTTAGTATTTTGCTGTCTACCCAGGACAGTTTGATTTGTTTCACCTCTGTGCAAATGCTTTGACCATACTACTTCCTCTTGACAACTATCAATTTTGTAATCTCTCTATTTTACATTGCACCAAATGCAATCTTAATTTGCGTAGCCCCATTAGGACATGACCCCTCCTAACTCTTTTGTTTAACACAGCCTTTATCTCATGGAACTAAATAGTGGCTGCATCCACATGACAGTTCTTTTCCATCTCCATGATGTTTCTCTGTTAATTTCTACATTAATGCAAGTCCAAGACTCAAAATTTAAATACTTCCAAGTTCACCATGAGCAAAATCATGTGAGGATTCTTTGTTTTCATTAAATAAGTTATTACAGTCCAGCAACAACGATCATTTACTACTGTGTCTTAATGTGCTCTTTCCTAAGTGTGAAGTGGGGGGGGGGGGATTAATACACGGAGCTCCAACGTAGGGAGTAGTTGCAGCAAGTCTGACAATGTTTGTCAAATACTCTAAACGTGAAAGAAATTACTTGTAAGATAGGAAAAAATCCAGCAAAGAGGCCCTTTTCACAGCAACTGAACCTGGTAAACTTGAAAGAATTTACCGTATTTTTTGCTCTATAAGACACACTTTTTCCCTCCTAAAAAGTAAGGGGAAATGTGTGTGCGTCTTATGGAGCGAATGCAGGCGGGAGGCTCTGCTCAGCGCTCCCTTTAAAGAATATTTTTTCCTTGCATTCCCCCTCTAAAAACTAGGCGCGTCTTATGGTCAGGTGCGTCTTATGGAGCGAAAAATACAGTGAATTTTGAGTCTTGGACTTGTATTAACCAAATTCCTGGACAGGGGATCAGTAGCTTTGCAGGAACATGAAAACCACCGTGGGTTATTTCAGAAAAGCATTCAGATAAGCTGAATGCCTCTGGTGTAACTGCTGGCTTCTCTCAAGTGTAAAGGGGCTAGCATAGGGTCTTGAAATTTAATTACATTTGAATGGCTGATATAGGACTTGCATGAGTTAGTATGTTAAACAGGAGAGGAGGAGTGAGTACCCTCTCTGAAACTGCCTGCATATAAAGTCAGAATAACGGAAATATGAAGAAAAAGCAGGCGCTTAAGTAATAAGTCATTAGTATAACACAAATCTTGACAAGAACAGACATTTATTCCATATAAATTAGGGGGGAAAACATTGTCCTCTAATGCACACATGATCCTTTTAGGGGAGAGAATGTGCTTCAATACCTGTTTCATTATCTGTTAGAGGGATGCGGTTTAGAAGGCTGATGATAGACTCTCAAAAATCCATCCAAATCCAAGGTTTGGTCACTTCAACATACATAACAATGAACTGCCACTCTGATATAACTGTATAACATGACATTATTTGTTAGGATCATGTCCTATTTAATATCTCAGACAGGACTAGGTACAAAGAAATGGCCTTCTCTCAGCTGTCTCGGTAAAATCACCTGCGTTTTCAAAAGGCTTCTTGCATATATCACAGCTATAAACCACAAAATCTAGTGGTCTACTCAATGCCAGTAAAAAAAGAATGGAATAGTTTGATAGTGATGAACTTGTCCAATTTGTTCCAGTAGATAAATTACTCCGATTGTGAGTCAAAAGCCTTATGTTGTGCATGACAGTTTTTTGTCGCTTTAAAAAATATGTTACATTCTTCTTATTTATATTAATTATATGTTTTTTCTTATTTGTGCTAATGAATGGTGTACTCTGTTGGCACCCTTTTAAGAAAAAAAGCGCTGCCGCCGCCACCACCAGCAGCATAAGAGCAATGCAGCAGCTAGGACAACTTTGACCACCTTTCTGCTCGGCTTTTGCTTTGCTCTCCCCTTTCTGCTGCCACCCAGGTATTTGTTTCACAACTGATATATGGTTCCCAGGTGTGCAATTATAAAAACACCGCTCCTTTTGAAATTTTACAAACTAAATTTTATTGCTCTTTGCTGGGGATTTCATCCTGTGTACCCAACGTAGCAGTTCACCTGGAGATCGGGCAAATTCCAGTTAGGTCCCAGATATTCATTTTGAAGATCCATTATTGGTTAAAACTGATTTTCTTCCTGGTAGGTCTGGCACTCTTAACTTTAATAGTTACATGCCAAACAAAATGGAAATCCTCACTGCAAGAGAAACTGAGAAGCCAAGGGTTCGCACCTCAGGCTCTGATACCTTGTGGCATAGCTGTCAACTTTCCCCTTTTCTTGCGAGGAATCCTATTCGGAATATGGGAATTTCCCTTAAAAAAAAAGGGAAATGTTGACAGCTATGCCCTGTGGATATGAGAAAACCAAATCCACAATTAAGCAATGAATCTTGCGGATGCTGATTTGAAATGCCATGTGCATGAAATGGCCAGGTATCTAGAAATTAAAGGTAATGGGAGGGGGTTTACTCCAGCGAGGTATTTATCCAAGCTAGAAAAACCCAAATTTAGATGATCGTTTACCCTTGCCAGGCTCAATGTCCTACCATCTGCATTACTGCAAGCTGATTTGAAGGTAAAACATATTCAGAGAGAATATGCCCATGTGGTTTGAAGGAAGTTGAAGCTGTTACTCATGTCCTACAATACTGTCATTATTATAGGGACATATGTTCTATATTTATCACTCCAAGCATGCAGTGAATCCCAAGCAGATCTGATGACCACTACTTCAAATATCTAATAGAGGAAAGTGGCTAAATTCTGTGCTGCTGCTATAAAATTAAGGTGACAAGCTGAATGAATTTAATGGCCAATGTCTTAACACATGTATTTTAAATTGGCGGTTAAGGTTTTAACCTACATATTTCAATTGTTTTATATCTATTTTTTATCGTGTTCTAGCTTATAGAGTTTAAATTTATTCATATTTACATGTTCTCTACTGCTGTATATGTCTGCATTTCTTGTCTTTGACTGTAATAAATCAATTTAAAGCTGCTCTCCTTGATAGGAGGACCAACCCAGAAGATCCTGGACCCCCTCCCCACTGATTTACAGCCAGTAGGTTGGCCCCCACCAAGGGCGGCCACAAAAATCACACCTCTCCACTCTGTCTTGCACTGGTGATTAACTCAGGAGGTTAAGAGGGATAAAAAGCACCAGGCCAATGTGAACGCTTTTGGGGGGGGGTTAGGAAGAAGGGTGGCAGTGTGGAGTTTTTGTATTCATCTAGTAGTTCGTGAATGGCAGCGTTGCTTTCTTGTTTGCATATTGCTTATGTTTCTACTGTTATGTGTTGAGCTGCTGTATTGTTTTTGTTCCCAATATGAATAAGAATAGGCTGTATTTACAGATTTGCAGTCATTGCAGTTGCACTAAACCAACCCTTGTTTTCAACCTCTGACACAATCCATGACATTTAATTACAAAATCCTGCAAATTCTAATGTTCTCTGTTATAGTCACATGTATTTTCTTCCTTGTTCAAACTCCTGTACATCTTTAAACAAATGTTCAATCTGAACAAAATTTGTAGGGTGCCTTACAAGTTGTACACACAAAGCAGGAGGTGCAGAATAGAAGTTCCACTGTAAACAGGACTAGATGTCTAAAGACGGCAATTTAAAGTATTTACATTCACAACAAATTTAATTCATAATCTACAACAGAGTCTCAAGGTAACATCCTAAATCACCAGTGCAAAGAATTTAAACAAAGCAATTTACTAGCATACGTTCAGTGCAGTCATTTCACACGTTTAGTCACAACAGTACAGAGGAGCATATGTAGAACTCAATGCATATTGCACAGCCACAAAATGGAATCATTTTCACATAGTGTCAATAAGCAATTGCTCATGATTTAACAGCAGTGTACAGCTTCAGCTCTGCAAGCTGACTATGCCCACTGCTAGCCTTTTAAATATATCCTAAAGGAAAACACAAGGGGATACTCCACATTGCACTGCTGAAGAAAACCAAGAGAGTCCATACTGAACCGGGCCAAAGCCCTGGAAAAACCTTACGCCTTTAAAACCTGACTCTAAACCTTAATCCATCCTAATCTTCTGGTTCGTCATCCTATAAATGATGCTGTCGTAGCCTGGATCCATATTCCAGAGGTTGTAGGAGATGACTATCACAGCTATGGTAAGGGCTATCATCATCCAGAAGACTATGTTGAAGACCACAGCATAGTTAAAGTTGTATTCATATCCTAAATTATATGGATTTTCATCTTTGGGCTATGAAAAGAGACAAAAAGTTTTGTTAAAAAATGAGAGAGGAGTGGTAATCCAACACCATACTGATTACACCTGCCTGAAAGAAATTTTATTTTGGATAAATCGTTGAAAGACAAAGCAGTTTCTATTGTATGGAGTCACTTGCAAATAACCGATCGAGCACCTGTGTTTTCACCACCAGCTGCCCATAAATATTACCAGCTTCTATTTTTCTCACTACTAGGAGACAGGGACTTCACATTTGTACTGAGGTATCACAAAAGGAAGAAACAAGCCAGATAAACTGCTTTTTAACTGCAGTTTGAAGAAGTCTGTAGGAGGCTTCTGAGAGTCCTTGCCAGTGGACCAGGGACACTTGCCTCTTCCACTTAACAATGGACAACATAACAGCTCTGGAAGTTTATACAGTACATGGTTCACTAGTACAGTGGTACCTCGCAAGACGAACGCCTCGCAAGACGGAAAACCCGCTAGACGAAAGGGTTTTCCGTTTTGGAGGCGCTTCGCAAGACGAATTTCCCTATGGGCTTGCTTCGCAAGACGACAGCCCATAGGGAAATATCCGGGACAGCGGGGAAGCGCAGCGCGTCTTCCCCACTGTCCTCGGACCTCCTCCGAAGCCTGGCGGCGGGGCGGGAACACCTCCCGCCGCCGCCGGGCTTCGGAAGGTTCCTCCGAAGCCGGGCAGTGGGGCGGGAACACCTGCCCCTGCCGCCCGGCTTCGGAACGATGCTCCGAAGCCGGGCGGCGGGGAGGGAACACCTGCCCCCGCCGCCCAGCTTCGGAACGATGCTCCGAAGCCGGGCAGCGGGGAGGGAACACCTCCTCCCGCCGCCGGGCTTCGGAACGATGCTCCGAAGCCGGGCGGCGGGGAGGGAACACCTTCTGAAGGCGGGCGGGGGGCGAAAGTCTTTGCTCCCCCCTGCCTGCCTTCCCGGGAGAGCGGAGAAACACAGCGTGTTTCTCCGCTGTCCCGGGCGGCTTTTGAAGGCAGGCGGGGGGGAGCAAAGACTTTCGCCCCCCGCCCGCCTTCAGAAGAGGTCCTGGACCTCTTCTGAAGGCGGGCGGGGGGCGAAAGTCTTTGCTCCCCCCCGCCTGCCTTCCCGGGAGAGCGGAGAAACACAGCGTGTTTCTCCGCTGTCCTGGACGGCTTTTGAAGGCAGGCAGGGGGGAGCATAGACTTTCGCCCCCCGCCCGCCTTCAGAAGAGGTCCAGGACCTCTTCTGAAGGCTGGCGGGGGGCAAAAGTCTTTGTCCCCCCTGCCTGCCTTCCCAGGGGCTTTTAAATCGCCCCGGACAGCGGAGAAGTCCTCCGCTGTCCCGGGGCGATTTTAAAATGCCGCCCGCCAGCATTTTAAGATCGCCCCGGACAGCGGAGAAGTCCTCCGCTGTCCCGGGGTTTTTTAAAATGCTAGGGGTGGGAAGAAAAGCCCTTGTCCCCCCCCCCCAACCTTCAGAAGAGGTCCGGGGACAGTCTGTCCCCGGACCTGGTCTGAAGGCGGTTTCCCTAGGAACGCATTAATTGATTTTCAATGCATTCCTATGGGAAACCGTGCATCGCAAGACGAAAAACTCGCAAGACGAAGAGACTTGCGGAACGAATTAATTTCGTCTTGCGAGGCACCACTGTAGTATAAAACCTACCATGTCCACAGTTGTGCAGCATTATGCTATAAAAGTGATATGGTAGTCTCTTGGGCAAGTTGCTCAGTCTTTATATTAGCTTAAGGCTGAGACATTCTCAAATGTCTTTAAAATGACTACAATTTTGTTCTCAGAATTATGTACTGTACAGTAGAGATAACAGAGAACAAGGCATAGTGCAGGCAGCTTATAACGGATATGCTGCGTTCTAAGTGATTTGCTTAGGAGCTCCAGTGAAATTTATGAGATTCCCAAGAAACTATTCAGGATTGAGCTATTGCATTCTCTTAGTAATATATTAAGCATTTGTACAACCTGTGTAGACTGCAGAATGGATCGGGACTTCCTCACAAAGGGCGTGTCAAATGTCTTCACGGTCACTACCTCAACCACTGCATTCCCACCATAGAGGTTGTACATCTCGTCTGCAAACTGAAAACATGTTTTAAGACAGAAGTCACCATCAGAGTTAGATGCACAGCTCATGAGACAGGAGGGGTACCATTTTAATAGCCACTGAATAGTAAGAAGCGTAGACACCTCTTAGGTTGCTTCTAGATTTAACATAGTGACTTAAAGTAGAATGGTCTACTACCAGAAATTTATCATTAATTATATTAAACTACAAGGCCAAAGTTGCTATCCTGAAACTATTTACTGGCAAGTATCCAATAATTATTACTGGAAATATTCAGGCACTGCCTATCAAGATGCTATACCCAGGGCAATGGATTTCTTTTCAATTCACCAACTGGAGGACTGGATAGTAACTTTTGCATGTGGGTACATAAAAGCTTCTGGCATCACTTGAATATCTGATTTTGGAACATTTCAGTGGTATTTTTCTGATAGGCTGAATATGCTTCCAATAGGAGCATTCCTAAAGAGTTTCTCGGGATAACAGTCCTGGTTCCATTTTCAAAATTGCTCGTTTCAAGGTACTCTCTAGTGCAATGTTTTAGCATTATTTCTTGCCAGATTTCTGGAATGGCTCTTGGTATTTCTATGTTATGGTGTGGGCCAGCTACTCAGAAGAGGAATGAAAAGCTTATAATAACCTGATGTAACACCTGATGCCTACCTTTGCTAATTTGCAAGGAATCCCTTGAACAGATTGCTCTGTCAACAGTTAACCTAATTTTCCAGTACCACTTATTTCTCCTCTAGTCACTTCCAAATGCATAAGAGCGACCAGGACTACAGATTTTGATCTGGCCATCAACTGTCCATTCATCCAAGACACTTTCATTTAAAAAAAATCAAATAAGGGTCAGCAGTGATGTACTGCATAACGTTTTAGCACTGTGCTAGTTTGCAGATAAAAGCAGATGTTCTTTGGGCTTATGCTAACATATTTGGCATTAAATATATAAAATAAGGTTTCTGCTCATGTTACCTTTTGTAAGGAGTCTGCAAGAATCTGAGAGGCATCCTTGAATTGTTGTGAATCTTCCCCATAACGTTTGCCAATTTCTTCCAACCCAGAGAGCTCTAGAGAATACAGATCTGGTGAATGATCTTTGGCCAGATGTTTGTGCCTGGATAGCTTTTGAAGAAGTGGAGGGCGGGGACATAGAAAAAAGAAAGAATGCCAGTGAAAAGTCGGTATTTTCCATTTTAAATGGCTGCATGTTTATGCCATCCTACTTTATTTATCTTCACAATTTATACATATATCACTTAATACCATACTTTCCAAGCATGTCCTGTAAATCTAAAAAGATGCAATACATAAAAAGTTAGTTAACGCTAACTATAAAATCAGAAAACATGCTTAAAATGCCTGCTGAAATATGAAGATCTTCATGAGGCACTGCATTATTTGACTGGCATGTCACTTTTGCACACACATAAGTGATGCTCAAAGCAGCTTACAACAGAAAACAGGAATGCATTTCAAAATCAAACAGTGCTTAAACAATTTCATAGTAAGAAAATAAAAAAACACAATATCATATGTAATATACAGAAAACAACATTTCAGGACTATAAATATAACTAATTACAATAGCAAAAGTACACCTCATGGCAGCAGCAAAAATAACAAGAGAGTTTAACAGTTGTAATTTGGTCCTAGAAACACTCTTCCCATGATGTTGCTCACAGCCCGTCTCCTGCATCAACTTGCAAGGCTTCTAAAGGCAAGGGGTGCATCAGCTGGCAACACCCTTCCCGGCTGAACAGGGAAGGGGCCTGCCTCAGCTAAGGCAGGAGTTCCACAGCATTGGACCAACATTACTAATGCATTGCTCCGAGTGGATGCAAGACCTGTGTTCAAACCATGCGAGGAATACTAACAGTGACTCCTCTAAAGACCTCTGTGAATGGGCAAAAACAGAAAGTACCCTGGCCCCAAGTTGTCATACGCCTTGTAAGTTAATGCAAGAACCCTTGAACTTTACCAGTGGGAAATGGGCAGCTAGTGCAATCTTTTAAGGACCAGATCTATGTGCTAGCAATAGTGTATCCCCACAGACAAGGAACCCTGACCAAGAAGGACTGCTTCCTCTGCAACTGCATACATTTCTTCTCGGTTTAAGAATTCTTCAGCCAGCTGAAGAGTCCACGATAGGAAAAGTTATATGGTGGCAGCTCCCACTGTGGCTGGGGCAAAACGGAAGATTATTTGCCTAACTTCTGATAACAGATCAACAGCTGCCAACCCCATAGCAGAATTAAGTATTTGTTTAGTTGCTTACCAAGCTTGTGATATCATGCAAAACTTGCAATTCTGACAGGAAGAGCAGGTCAACCTGAGGAAACAATAATCTTAAGTTTCTTTGAACAGAATCTGAATATGTTGCATCTATGCTGAAGAGTTCTAATTCAGAAGTTACACTATTAGCAGAGATGGCAGAAGTCAGGATCACTTGCATATTTCTGCTTACTGATTACTACTGTTTATTATATTTATTTAGGCACTAAATGTACAAGCGTGACAAATTAACCTCAGCCATGCTCAGACAAGGCTCAAAAATCAGTGCGGAGCACACAGATAGGACTGCAGACTTGTGCATTAGTAGTTTGTACCCCACCCCAAATCTAATCTAAAGGGCTTGGGGGCTTCAGAACTGTGGGAGGAGATGCAGACTGATGTCAATGGAAGGGGAAGGGGATCACCTTCTGTCTTGGAAGCCTCTGCTGGATCAATGAGCCTTCTGTCACTGAAAGGATGTAATTAGATACATCCCTATGCATTGGTGGGTAAGCAGAGGAATTAGCTATCCATTGGTCATCATGCAGCTAGACAGAGTACAGTCATACCTTGGATCTCAAACACTTTGGCTCCCAGAGAAATCGACTCCCAAACGATTGAAACCCGGAAGTGAGTGTTCCAGTTTTCGAACGATTTTTGGAAGCCGAACGTCCGGTGCTGCTTCTGATTGGCTGGAGGAGCTTTGGTTTCTGAACGTTTTGGAAGTCAAATGGACTTCCAGAATGGATTCCGTTCAACTTCCAAGGTACGACTGTACATATATGTGCTTAAAGTTGTATTAAGCAACTGAAACATATGCACCACCACCATCCCTCTGCACCCCCCTGGAAAACTAGGTTGTGTTCCTTAAATTTGAAAGAGTGGCATAATATAAAATGGAAAAAGTTGTGTCTAATGTCTAGCCATGCCTTACCTCATTGTTTCTGCTCAGTGAGTTGAGCGGAAGGGAAGCTAGGATGGAATTTTCCTGGAACAATCTGTTCCGAAGCTGCCGCAGTGTGACAGAAAGATCCTCAAATACAGAGTTGGCCTTTCCCACCATGTACACTCTCTGAAAGAACGACCATCGTGCATTATGAGGATAAAACAACATTCACCTGAGAAAAGGACGTTTCTGGAACACAACTGTTTTCCCAAAATGAAAAGTTTTTACATAAGGTTATCCTTGGAAGCATGAGTATGGCATTATTAAATAATTTCATGGGCTTTCAGAAAGAGACAGGCACTTACCTCTTCACTAGGAGCTAGCTGTACCACGACAGGGGTTTCTTCAGAAAATAAGGTGTGAATTGCATTTGCAACACCATCCAAGCTAAAAGGAACCGCCTAGGGCAATACAGAAAGGACTAGTAAGCAATGTCTGGCTGCAGCATATGGAAAATTGCAAGAAGGGTAAATAGCCCCAGCGGAAATGTACACAGAACAAGACACTGGAAAAGCAGGGGTTTGTTAACAAGGACCCTCTCCCGTCCAAATATAGTCAGGTCTCTAGGTCTACCAGAATAAGCATTTGAATCTACACATGACAGTACTTACATTCTCAACTGGGTAAGATATGCCGTTTTTAGGCAACGTTAGTTTGTCTATCCCTGTCACTGTGACTAGAACTGTAGCTCGAGGACGCCGGAAGAGATCTCCAACTGCTAGCCCCGGCCAAGAGAGATCCTGTAATAATTTGGATATATTTTCTTAAAAAGGAATGTTTTAGCTTTTTAAAAATACAACAGCAGCAACAACAAAACAAGAAACACTGAGTTAGGGTCACATGAAAAGTTATTCCCAATAAATATGGGGTGTAGGGAAGGAGGCAGTCATTAAGGCATGAAGGGCTTATGCTACTTGGGATATTTATATATGAAAAGCCACATGTGTATTATTGAAATAATGGGTAACTAGCCACCACTGCCTGGTTTTGCTATATACACCCAATATAAAGCAAAGCCTACAGAAAGCTAGATTATGCTCTTGCCCATGATTCCTAGAGGGACTGCACAGGCTAGGTCTATTTCAACTATTTTCAAAAGCAATGAACAATGTGACTGAACACAGACATAGTGAGTTGCATACTTCCTCAATAGAGAAGCCCATGGAAAGCGCTGCCACATCTGGAATTCGCTCGCCGGGTATTGGCCAACTTCCTTCACGGAAAACAATGGATTCAGGATATCTTAATACACTGAACTCATTGGCAGAAATACCTGAAAAAGGAAGGTAGGGCTGGTAAAAAAAACCACATCCTTAAACAGCATCTCAGCTTTTTCGGAAAGCCTTTGCCTGAGCACACAAGCAGAATGAGGCGGGAGAATGGGCCACACCACTTTAGACTACAGGTGTCAGCTACTACTGTTGAATGCTCTCTCCCCCCCCCCCCCGGTAAAATAAAACTGTTTGCAGATAGAAAGAACATTCACAGGGAAAACATGCCAGCCCATGTCCTTGCCCAGCCGTGCTTATTTTATATCGCACAGGAAATGCTTTTTGTGTTTGAGAGGAGCACTGAAAGTGGGATCCTTCACATGAACCTCATTCTACCATAGTCAAAAAAAAATAATAATAAAAAATCCTTCCAGTAGCACCTTAAAGACCAACTAAGTTAGTTCTTGGTATGAGCTTTCGTGTGCATGCACACTTCTTCAGATACACAAGTGTGCATGCACACGAAAGCTCATACCAAGAACTAACTTAGTTGGTCTTTAAGGTGCTACTGGAAGGATTTTTTTTGTTTTGACTATGGCAGACCAACACGGCTACCTATCTGTAACTCATTCTACCATGTCATTCCAATTCCCACAACACAGAGCCTTTGATTACAGTAAATCCTTTTCGAATGGCAGCTAATGTTTTTCAGTTTATTTCTCTACTAAACTATTGGACACTCCTGAAGACAAGATTGTGATAGTAGGAAACAGCCAATATGGTGCACTAAATACGGTAAAAGGTAAAGGTAAAGGACCACTGGACAGAGAAGTCCAGTCAAAGGCATGGGGTTGCAGTGCTCATCTCACTTTTAGGCCGAAGGAGCCGGCGTTTGTCCACAGACAGTTTTCCGGGTCATGTGGCCAGCATGACTAAACTGCTTCTGGCACAACGGAACACATTGACAGAAACCAGAGCGCACGGAAACATACTAAATATGCAGGCGTGGCTATGTACCTAATTATCATAAACAGAAGTCTTGTTCCCCAGGCTATTTCTTACAAAGGTAAGGAATAAGGGTACCCCTATATGCGGTAACCAATAGGGGCTGCAGGGAAGCCTTGGTACAATCACTGAATGCAACTGATACGCATACTCGGTTTAAGTCAAAGGAAATGCTGTCCCCACTTTCCATCATAGGATCTCTACATCTCTACATCCCTACTCAGCTGTTTCGTTTTCTGGAGAGTTACCCTGAGAAGTGAGGGGGCAATGGGTTAGCAGCTCAATTCTTACTCAAAATCTATTGCTGCAAATGCCACTTTAGGAGAGGGTGGATAGCTCAATGGTAGAGCTCATCTTTGAATGCAGATGTTTTCTTGTCCAATCCCCTGGCACCTCCAGTGAAAAAGATCTCAGGTACTGGGTCTGCGAAAGATCCAGAGTGCTTCTGCCACCTGGGGTAGACAATACTGGGCTGGATGGATCAAGTGTAAGACAGCTTTCTGTGTTTGTCTGCATTGTGTTAGCGTCTACGTTAGCCAACTACAGGGTTAAGTTGCACCTCTCAGAAAGCAAGATTTGGCTGAAAGCTTCCAGTTGCTTATCCTAATCCTACATGTCCCAGAGGCAGAATGAGGTTCCACAAAAGGAAGCAGAAAAACTGAGACCACACAAAAGCCTCCAACAGATATAACGCTTCAGCTACATTATGTTTCTTCCTTTATTCTGACCACATCAACCTTGGAGTTAGGTCTAAACCACATTCAACTTTTAACAAAAATACAAGCAGTATTGACAGTAAACATGTGTCATTTCATAACACTAGCTTCTAACAACAGCATTGTATCTGTAAACATTATCTACCCATCAGGTCATTTAAATATAGGGCAAAGGAGGAGTTCAATACTAGGTTTTTAAAAAAAATTATTGCGTGTATAAATCAGAGAAAATATAATCATTCGCAGATAACTTGTGAGATTCAGAAATGGGCCTAGTCATTCTGTTGTTGTGCCCAAAACCTAGGTTTAAGGTGCCATTTAGCTCCTAGCTTTCATATCTCAGTTTCTAACACTGCTCATGTGCTTTTACTTGAAAATCATTACAAGCACTTTTATTTAAGAAGTACTTTTAACTCTCTTGTTCCAATCTTGCACACAGGATTAACACACACAACAGTTGATTTATAGTGAAAATTAGAACCTACACATTTGAGAGCTGCAACTATTTCATTCCAGCCATGGCCTGTCAATGGGGAATATAAATCCTGGAGTTTTCAGACATTTAGACAATATTATCACTTTGCCATGTATGTGCAATAATTATACTCCTATATATATATTCCAAATAAATGAAGCTAATTAGCATAAATTTTATGAGTTGTTCCTTTAAAGGAATGGTTTTTAACCAGTGTGCTGTGGCACTCTGGGGTGCCTTGAATGATAGCCAGTGGGGCCGCAGGCAACACTGGCCTCTATCTCACTTTTCTTCCCTCCCGTCCTCTGATGCCCTCTTGTGTCTCTGCCTCCCAAAGGCTTGAACAGCTGTTTGTTGCAGCAGCCCTGGCTACAAGCTCCCCAGGCGAATGGTGCCTCTGGGACTGGCCAGGGGGTGCTTCCCAGGCCCCTGTGGGGCAGTGTGAGGAGGCACCTCTCTTTGGGGTGGGGCAGCTCAGAGACCAGGGGCGGCAGATGCGGCTGCCCAGAGGACACCCAAAGAGACGGGAGAGGAGTCTGAGGGAACACTCCACAAGGGAGTGTTGGAAAAAGGGTGAGAAGCTGCCAGCTCTGCAGGCAAGGGGTGACATAACTGGGCTCCTGAGTCCCACAGGGGTGTCGCAGAAAGAATGTAGTTGGTCAAGGGAGCCGAGGACTCAAAAAACCTCTGCTTTAAAGCATTACACTCAACCCTATATGTAAGGTTTTGCTCAATTTGTATTTTTTTGTGAAGAAGGATTGAGGATAGAGGTGGTAGCCCAGGGATGGGAAACCTGTGGTCCTTCAGATGTTGAACTCAGTTCCTATCAATTCCTTGTACCCAAAGCTGGACCCACTGCCAGTATGTGACAGCACTGGGCCCAATCCAGGCCTGATGGCTGTGCCACCTCCAAAGTGGCATAGTAGTCTGCTTGTCCCCTACTTTCTGCCCTGGCTGCTGTGCATGACAGGCCTGTGAATGCAGCAGTAGCCCCACTGCTCCGTAAAGCACCAGTGTGGGGCGGGGACTTAGGACTGCAGCCTAAGATATTTTCTTATGACAACAAGTGTCAAAATTTTGGATAGCTGTTAATACTTTGCCAAAATCTTATATGGGCAGAATCCAGAAACATGGACTTGCTACAGTACACTCATATCAGCACCTCCCATTACAAGATAATTGCACCCGAATAGTCAATGGAAAATAATTAATTCAGATTTCCCAGCCACTGAACTTGAGACAAACCATCTAAGCTATTTACTAGGAGAAAACAGGTAAATGGCCCTGCTTTCTACTACATCATTAGGATCAATTTTAGTTGAAGCAGCAAGTACTTAAAACAGCTACTGGCTAGCAACATATTATCAGCTGACCATGGAGCAGGAAGATTTCCCTCACATGCTTTTTAGTCTTGACATTCCTTCCTCAGACAAGAAGGCTAGTCTAAAGTGACATTGAATTCCGACAAAACCAACAGCAGCTGGAAGTTGTGGAAGAAATAGCTAGGCTGATGCTGAAAGTACAGGAATAAACTGACCAAAGATCCTTGGCTTGTCCCAACAAAACAAACAATTGAGTATCAGGTCACAAGATGTCAGCCATGTCTCAAACTAGACAAAGAAACTGGACTTCCTCAAGCTAGCCAAGACTGGAACTAACAGCTTAAATGCCTCTGAATATACACATACTAAAATGCCCCACATTAAACACAAGCAGAACTACAAAGACTAACTGTAGTAAAAACGAGTGTTTCTCAGTTTGACCCTTTTACATAGTTTGGTATGTTTTGTGGCATTTTATGCATTGTGATTTGCTGTTATTTTTTATTGGTTATAGATTGGTAATTATTGTGGTTGATAAGTGTAAACTGTTTAATTATTATTTGCTGATGTTTAATTTGACTGTTTACTGGATTCTGATGGACTGCTGAATGTTACTCGCTTTGTTTGAAATGAGTTGTCAATTTTAAAGTTACTGCAACTTTTAATATTGGATCAGATTACTATTAACGTTTGATGTTTTTATATGTGTTGGAAGCTGCTCAGAGTGGCTGGGGCAACCCAGCCAAGATGAGCAGGGTATAAACAAAATATCTATTATTATTATTATTATTATTATTATGTATAAAGGGAGCTGCCAAGGGTTTCATTCTGTCCCCTTTCCTTTTTTATACAGAGACCAAACTATATACAAAACAGATGAGCATAATGATCTCCAGGCATTTAAAAAATGAGAATCAGCAGACAAACTGCCAGTTTGGGTGGAGGAATTGAGTGGAGAAATATATGAAGAAACAGAAACCGGGATGGCTTTTTGAAAATATGGACACTTGGAGGGTCTTGTATACTGGATAAGCTATAGGGAGTAAGATTTTGATTGCACAGGTAATAGGCACAAAACATAAAAAGCAAAGGTCCGTAAGAAAAATACCCCTTCTGAATGATAAGCCTAAACTACCTCACAGGGTTGTTCTGAGGACAAAAGTGTGGGGAGGGAAATCATGCACACCAACTTGAGCTCCTTGCAGGAATGGTGGGATACAAATGTAATCAATAAAAAATGGTGGAGGAATGGTGGGATATAAATGTACAGTAATCAATAAAAAAATAAAGGGAGGCCTGGTGGGCCTCCCACTAGCCAGTAAGGATGCTGCTCCAAAAAAATGCTTGCTTTCCTCTTTCCTCCTCATTTCCCACCTCCACCTTTTGTACAATGTCTACGAGACTGTGAGACACTGAGCAGGGACTGTCTTTATCTTTAACAGAACTACAGCAGGAAATGTCGAGCATTTTATAAGCGTTTGATGATGATAATAAATAAATAATAATAATAATAATAATAATAATAATAATAGTAAAAACCCACGGCCACTACAGTTCCACGAACACGACCCAGCCCTCATTCTCCCTCTGACAGTCTATCCTGCCACGACGACCCCCAACACGCAGGTGCCCTTATCTCTGTCGCAGAGACCATCCTTCAGATCCGGGCTGCATGGGACCCCGCCCCAGGGACCCCCTTTCTCCCCCCTCCCCTCCCCCCATGCAGAGCCGCCCGGAGCCTCACCTGCCACAAGGGCTGACACCAGCCAAAGAGCCATCTGGACCCCCATCACTGCTGCTCCCTCCGCCGCGTTCCAGAGAAAAGCAGAAGAGGAAGTATGAACCAGCCGGTCTCGCGACCCGACTATGCCCCGCCTCCAACTCTAATTGACAAGGTCTCCGACCGCTCAGAAAGCGCTCACGGCGAGGCTCATAAGGGAAGAAGGCGAAGCCACATTCTGAGTGGCAAGGCCATGCGCCCAATAAGAACATGAGAGAAAAACTCTCCCACCCACCACCCACTGCCGTCAAATCTACTCCAGTAGATTCATTAGCTTCAGCTTGAGCGACAGCCATATTAGCCATTCAGAGGATCTTCAGCCGCTCCGTGAAGCTATAGAGGAGGTGTAACTTAACGGGGCGGGAGGTGGGAGAAACCAACTAGTGTGTCCGCGAAACGATGGACATGCGCACGAGGGTAAGAATGGGAGGCGGGGCCAACCCAATGTAGCGACAGGAAAGTTAACCACTTAGGATCCGAAGGATTCGTCCCATCCCGTGACACTGATGTCCTGAGGCTTTTCTTGCGGAACGGATGTCTTTCGGTCAGATTGACAAACCCACTGACCAATAGAAGGCTCTACGGAGTTCTAATCCAATTATAGATCTATAGAGCTGGAAAAGGGCGGGGTGTTTTGCTCAATTTGCCATAATTGCATAGTGGGTTGTTTGACTCCCCTGCGCTTCAGCAGGTGGTGCCTAGACCTCGCTGCTTTTCCAAATCCCCTCTTTTGCAACACGCGCCCACTCTCTTGATCTGGTTGCCCGACTCTTTGAATTCTGTCCACAGGGCAGGATTCAGAAGCTTTGTTTTGTTATCCACGCTGGTGGAGGAATTGAACGTTAATAGGAATCAATTAGTTTCTTTATAGATGAGCATGGAAAACAAAAACAAATGATTTTCGTAGTACTTCTGTGGCACATGATAATCTGCGATGTATTAGTGGGATATATGCTCCTAATGTAGCAGCCTGACAACCATCCATGCGCTGTCAAGTAACTGCGGAAGTTCCTGCGCATTTGCTTTGTTTCGCAATTAACCCTAAGAAAGGCCAGCCCTTCGTTTGGAGGCTTCTGTGCCCCAGTTACGGATACTTTTGACAGACTGCTCCAGAGCAGGAGGTTGTCAGCCTTACTAATGACCTGTTTCCCCCCCAGATATCTTCTCCTTGGTTTGTCTGCAGTTTCTGCATGAGGGGGAATACTACCATGCTGTCTGGTGTCCAAATCTGCTTTCTGACAAGTAGCATAATTTCCAAAGCAAATAGATGGATTATTAATTTTACTGTTCAGTACCCTTGAGTTTAAAACTCTGGAGACTCACATTGTTCAGAAGGATTTCCACCGGTTTTATTGTTCATTATGTATTTATATTCCTGTACACTCGCCTGATACTTTGTGAGAGGCTGGTATATAAGTACTTTTAGAAATGAAAAAGATGTGAGTGTGGTCTATTGATATGAATATTTTATTTATTTCATTTATGTACCACTTCATCTTTCAACATAAATCTCTAATATGTGTTCAGCTTCTTCAGTGAGGCACTTTGCACAAACTGTTGCTTTCTTGCGGTTGGCGCTAAATAACACAAATTATGTGATCAGAGAAACCCCACAGTGACATCCTCTACAAGCATACAGAGTACATTCTCTCTGCTGGACTTGCTGTTGTTGTTTTCTTCAGCGAAGACTGCAGGAACTAGCTGGCATGAGTTTCACAGACCTTGCAGCTGGCCTCCACCCTCTCATGCAGTCACACAACAGTTAACTGATATCACTTCTCCATTTTTATTTTTATTTTACAGAACAACCAGAAAACAGTGATTCATGCATTAGTCACATCAAGACTGGGCTGTTGCACTGCTGTATCTGTGAAGCTGCTTTTCCAAAACTGTTCAGAAATGTCTGTGTACAGAACACAGTTGCCAGATTATAGGCTGAAGTTGGCCAGTTGGTTTGGGCCATGTTACATCAATTTTACAGCAGCAGTGTTTGTTTCCCATTGGTTCCCAGGTCTATTGCAAACCGTTTGTAGTGACTTACAATAAACAAGCCTGGTTCCCAGATCCTTGAGGACCTATTCTTCTTCCTTATTATCCTGTTGTTGTTTAGTCGTGTCCGACTCTTCGTGACCCCATGGACCAGAGCACGCCAGGAACTCCTGTCTTCCATTGCCTCCCAGAGTTTGGTCAAACTCATGTTGGTAGCTTCAAGAACACTGTCCAGCCATCTCGTCCTCTGTCGTCCCCTTCTCTTAGTGCCCTCAATCTTTCCCAGCATCAGGGTATTTTCCAGGGAGTCTTCTCTTCTCATGATGTGGCCAAAGTATTGGAGCCTCAGCTTCAGGATCTGTCCTTCCAGGGCTGATTTCCTTCAGAATGGATGCGTTTGATCTTCTTGCACTCCATGGGACTCTCAAGACTCTCCTCCAGCACCATAATTCAAAAGCATCAATTCTTTGGCGATCAGCCTTCTTTATGGTCCAGCTCTCACTTCCATTCATCACTACTGGGAAAACCATAGCTTTAACTATACGGACCTTTGTCGGCAAGGTGATGTCTCTGCTTTTTAAGATGCTGTCTAGGTTTGTCACTGCTTTTCTCTCAATAAATTTCGTGACTGTTGTCACCATCTGCAGTGATCATGGAGCCCAAGAAAGTAAAATCTCTCACTGCCTAGATTTCTTCCCCTTCTGTTTGCCAGGAGGTGATGGGCCCAGTGGCCATGACCTTCATTTTTTTGATGTTGAGCTTCAGACCATATTTTGCACTCTCCTCTTTCACCTTCATTAAAAAGGTTCTTTAATTCCTCCTCACTTTCTTCCATCACCCTACCCACACATTAAGATCTTCCTTGGAGGCTCTCCTCACATACTTGCTTCTTCTTCATCATGCTTGCTGTGGGAAGCCATCCATGTCCTGCTGGTCCTGATTGTGGAGATCATGCAGGGTCTTCTTAGCTGTGGCACCAATACAACTTGGTTCCTCTTGTCTTTTAGCTGGCTTGGCAAGACACTATCAAGTCCCTGGGCTTTGGAACTATATGATAGCTGTAGTAGGGGTTGTACTTACCTGCTCCTGCTGATTTTTACTCTCTTTTGGTTATATTGGGGTTTTAAATATTTGCCACTGGGTTTTATTGATTATTAGATGCCTTGTGGATTTCTCGTAGGAAGGTGGTATATACATGTTCTGATTAAAAAGAAAAATAATAGAGAAGAACTACAGCTCTGTTCAGGGTAAAAGTAAATTTTCAGTCAACTAAAGCAAAAGCAATATAAGACCTAGCTCTAAAGAGCTTATGTTCTGAAAAAGGGAGGATATTACAATAAGAAATGCAATAAAGCATGTTTTTATAGTTTTCTAACATTGGCACAAAGCTTTAAAATGCACAGGCCCAGAGCAATAATGTGCTGGGCAGCATCAAAACATTAAGGAATAATGTTTGCATCATTAATACCTAATGATATAGCTTAACAAACCGCTAAATGAAATGATTGCCATGGAAGGCTTAGAGGACACACCAGGCAGGAATAACTTTCATTGGGTGTTTCCAGGCAGGGACTTCATGTCGCAAATGGATCGTTCAGATCCAATTTTTCTGAGTACATTATGGACACACAAACATCCATACACACTCTTTTTTTAGTCTTACATTTGTCATAGGTATTCTGCTGTTTCACGTCCATATCAGTAGGCAACCTTTGGTGCAACATTGCTATGCTATGTTTCCCAACCCTTATCTTTCATTACGTCCTCCTCTCCCACCCTCAACTACCTTTACCTGTTCTGGGCTTGTACACAGTGACTTCTGTACCTGTGCATGCACATCTTTTTATGCTGTTTTTGAGTGCTGTTTCTCAGCTGAGAAAAGAATCTATTATCATTCATTTTCTAATTGGTTTACAGCAGTTATCTTGCTGTTAGCTGCATTCCTTGTACAAGTGAACTGTGATTTGGGGGAAAGTACTGACTGCTTCCTGGGATTCCATTTTATTTTCCATGAGAGAACTGTCATTAAAACATGCTCAGGCACTTCTGCCTTACACATAGCAGAACTGTTATTGTAATGGCTCCTGAGTGGTATCGTTCCTAGTAGGACTTGCATTTGTAGCCAAATTTAAAAGTCCTGCTTGCCATGGAAAAAGCAGCAGTGCACTTGAAGGTTCTTAATTGTTCCTTTGCAGCTGCATTTTTTACCTGTCCCACACCTGATATCTTATGGCATCAGGTGTGTGCCAGGTGAGTGTGGAATTGGGAGAGCAGCCTAGCTGCCCAAATTAGAACCACCAATGGGTCTAATAGGGCTGCTGGCCGGAGGTTTCCCATGAATGATACACTAATTTCCCCTCTCTTCAAATATGCCACAAATTGAATCTCTTCCCATTCTGTGAGGCTCAGTAGATCAGACAGACCTTTGGAAAAAGGTTGTTTTTGTTAAGCCTTGAAAAGCCCGGCAGGCAGTCGAAATACTATTCCATCTAATAACCATTTCTGAGTCCTTCCTACAGAAGTAAGCGTATCTCCATACCTATTCTGCTTCTCTTTCTAAGGATGCATACAAACAACTTACCGTAAGTGGAGATGCTGAATGTGACAAACTCTCCTCTTACTGCTGTGAGAAAGTGTTATCTGCAATCCTTCTTCAGTAGCTTGGTAATTGTAAAAATATAGTGGGGTGGCTGCTTCTTCAGGAAGGATAAAAGGCTGCAGAAGGAAAGTGTGATCAGTGGCGTAGCGTGGGGGGTGCAGGGGGGGCCAGCCGCACCGGGCGCAACATCTGGGGTTAGGGCAAATCCACAGGTTAGGGGGCGCAAATTACTTGGCTTGCCCCGGGTGCTGACAACCCACGCTACGCCACTGAGTGTGATCGACCCTTAACAAAACGTTTTAAGTTTGAGAGTCACCCCCCTAAACCCAAGAAATTAATGAATGTCAGAAATTAGTTAATATTTAGGATAGGAAGGGAAAATGCAAGCCGCAGAACTATGCCAGACAAGGAGGCTCATGCAAACCAGCCTAACCAGGCATTGGCAATGCAAAAGAACCGTTCTTCCCCACAGCTCTGAGGACTAGACAAAGACAAGAGAAGTGGCA